ATTACACCTCAACACAGAGAAATGAAAATCCTTACAACTGGGCCAGTAATCAACATCACACTAAATGGAGAAAAGACTGAAGTTGTTAGGAGTTTCATTTTACTTGGATCCACAATAAACATCCATGGAAGCAGCAGTTGAGAAATCAGATGTCCTATTGCACTGGACAAATCTGCTGTGAAAGATCTCTTTGAAGTGTTAAGAAGCAAAGATGTCACTTTAAAGACTAAGGTACACCTAACCCAAGCCATAGCATTTTCAATTACCTCATGTGCATGTGAAAGCTGGACAATGACTAAAGAAAACCGAAAAAAGAGTTGATGCTTTTGAATTGTGGTATCAGCAGAAACACCAAAAATACCGTGGACCACCAGAAGAACAACAAACATGCCCTGGAGGAAGTGCAGCCAGAATGCTCCTTGGAAGCGAGAATGGCCAGATTATGTCTTACCTACTTTTGGTCATGCTGCCAGAAGGAGCCACTCCCTGGAGAAGAATGTTAAGTTTGGTAAAGCAGAGGGTCAACGAGAAAGGGGAAGCTCCTCAACAAGATGGATTGACACAATGGCTGCAAAGATGGGCTCAACCACAGCAAAGGGTTGTGAGGATGGCACAAGACCTGGCAATATTTCGTTCTGTTGCACACAGGGTCACTATGACTCAGAGCTGATTCACCAGCATCTACCAACAACACACCAAAACCCAAAGGCACCCTGGTGGTGCAATGGTTAGAGTGCTCAGCTGCTAACCAAAAGAGTGGCGGTTCAAACTTTGCAGGAGAAAAGACACGGTGATCTACTCCTGTAAAGACTTTTATTGCTGTGGATCATTTAGGCCAATTCTGACTCACAGGGACCTTATAGGACAGAGTACTACTGCCCCATTAGGTTTTCTTGGCTGTAAACCTCTACCAGAGGAGACTGCCAGATCTCTTGTCCCATGGAGCCACTTTGGCTTTTAACTGCTGACCTGTTGTTTAAAAGCTGAGTGCTTATTTGTTGCATCATCAAGACTCCTTCCCATAAAGATTACAGTTTAGGAAGTTCTATGGGGCAGTACTATGCTGTCCCATAGGATCACTATGAGTCAAAATCAGCTTGACACCACACTATAACAAATACCTACAACCAGAGTCCCTATGTGGCACAAATGGCTAAATGGTGACTATTATCCAAAAAGTTAATGGTTTGAATCCACCCAGATGCCCCTTGAAAGACAGGCTTGGTGTTCTGCGTCCAAAAGGTCACAGTCTTTAAAACCTTATGGGATAGCTCTACTCTGCACACATGGGGTCACCATGAGTTGCAATCAACTCAACATCAACTAATAACAACAACCTACAACTAGAGTGCACAGTGCAAACTGTTAACATGCTTAACCACTAAAAGTTTGGCAGTTCATGCCCAAGATGTACTTCAGAAGAAAGGCCTGGCAATCTACTTCTGAAAAACCAGCCATTAAAAATCTTATGGAGCATAGTTCTACTCTGACACATATGAAGTCACAATGAGTCAGAATCAACTTGATGGCAACTGGTGTGTTTTAAAACCTAAAACCAACTCAGAGCCCACAGTGATGCGTGAGCAACTGACTTAAACTTGCTAAAATAAAATGTGAGGAAAATATAAATATTTGTTATTGTAAGCTACTGAGATTTTGGGGATTGTTATGTAGCATAACCTTGTGAAAGTTAATACACCATCATATTCTTTCAGACCAGGAGTCCTAAGGCTGGATATACTTTTTTTTTATGTCCAATTAGATATATGCCCTGGATACATACTGAAAGCTGTTAAAAGATTTGAAAATACTTATTCTTACAGTTTCTTTACAGATGAGTTTACTGTGGCCCTACATGCTTTGCTCAAGGTCCCATTAGTGAGACACAGAATTTTCTCAGCTTCTTTCCCTCTAAAATGAGTACAGGACTGCAAATTATATATCCATGGATCTGTATAAGGTACAGTGTAACAGACATCTACACAAATAGAAATCAGTTTGGAGCAAACTGTCATTTGCAAAATATACTGATCTTGGATAAAGATGAAGTCGTAAGAGTTAACAATAGTAAACCATTATGACAATTATACATGAAATCAAAGCCTTTCTGAGAATGGATATTTCAGGTAACATCCAGAATTCTGAGTTTTATTAGTTTTAACTAATAAAAACAAAATAAAAGAATTAGTTTATATATATGTGAAGTCAAGTCAACTATACAGAAACATTTCCTGGCAAATCCACACTAGACTGTGGCCTAGGCAGCAGTGTTAAGAAATCTATAGACAAAGCCACATCAATCCCTAAAGGAAAACACAGTTTGGGGAAACAGGATATGAAATGAATCCAAGAGTCAGAATGGGTAGAGTGTTTCTGGCACTGTCCAGAGAAAAAAGACTCCAAATTTAGAGGATGTGCACAAGAGGGACCTTGGAGGGTGGGAAGGGTCTCTTTTGTGGGGAACAGTAGATAAGAAAAGTTAATCTCAAGATACTTACACTTCATTTTACTCCAATCTCATGCTCAGCAAATTACCTTCTGATGACTAGTTCAATTTTTCATGTTCTTCAAGAGAGGCAGAAAGATGCTCAGGACAGAGCATTCTAGTCACTGGAAAATAACATTCTGCTCCCCCCACACACCTCCCGCCCCCCCATTGCAAATTAACAAAGTGACCTTCTGGGTTACATTTCAATCTCCCTAGGTCTGACCAACTAGACAACATGAGGTTTCCAGAGTGAAGTGTGGTTGACTTCACCAGGTAAGCACCTTGTGAGGCCTCTTCATGGTCAGTCTGTGGGTTATTTGGTAAGATGCCCACCATACCTCACACTCCTTCCATTTCAACAGCAAATGAACTGGCTACCTAAATACATCTTCAACAAAGACTTTTCTAACATTTGAACATACCATGGAATGTAAGGTGTTAAGAAAACTAACGTGCTTCCCTTACAGAAAGTGAATATACTCTCCCTAGCTCTTTGATATATAGTTCATGAAGGAAAAAGGCTGCAGGTCTCAAATCCTTCCCAAGAGGTACGTTCACCTACATGGGTTGGATTCCACAGGACCAAAGCAAGGACCAGCAACTACACATTACAACTTATGTAAAACCAATTCTTTTTTCTATATGTTTTCACTCTTAATTTTCATTATTTATTTCATACTTCATGAATATAAAGAATAGTAACTTTTCAAAGAAAACAGAATTCTCCAGCTGATTTTTAATCTCAATATTTCTTAAATGCCCTCTCTAGAAATTTAGTTCATTGAACTAGGAGTCCTGCAAAACCCTTTCAAGATTATACTTTCTTATTTAGAACTTTGTATTTTGCTCTTAGAGTTATTATCAAATAAATGTCTCCTGATTTGATCATTAAAAATTGCTAAGAAAATTCTTCCCCAATAAATGCAGTCTACTTTCCAAAGCCTTCTGTAGCCTTATCAATGGCTGGAGAGACTGACCACACCACATTCTTTTTTTAGCCACTTTTCCTCTGACAGTCATGTAGCATCAGTAGCCACTTACTCTTTCCAAGTTGGTGACTAATGGGCCACTGAGACAGACCAAGAATTTTATTTCTGTCCTTGTCCCTCAGCCTAGATTCTATTTTTAGCCAGATACCAAGAGCACTTTATCCAGGAATGCCTTGTGAAATAAGATTACATTGCTCAGGGTGAGGGATAAAAGATCCTGAGTATGCCTATTACCAGTGGAGTCAGATCCGGCTGAAAGGTCCAAGTCATTTCTACTACCATGTAGGCTTCTGATCAGCTCTGAGTAAACCTCAGTTTTGACCAAATTTGTCCTTAGGAAATCATCACAGCTATACATCTTAAATATATCCCATATCCTTGATACTTCCTATGCACAGACCCTCAGTCCTTCCCAAAAGTTACCTTGGGAAGAGGTACCTTCACCTACATGGGCTGGATTCCACAGGACCAAAGCGAGGACCAGCAACTACACATTACAACTTATGTAAAACCAATTCTTTTTACTGTATGTTTTCACTCTTAATTTTCATTATTTATTTCATACTTCATGAATAAAAAGAATAGTAACTTTTCAAAGAAAATAGAATTCTCCAGCTGATTTTTAATCTCAATAAATGCCCTCTCTAGAAATTCAGTTCATTGAACTAGAAGTCCTGCAAAACAGAAGCTTAGAATTCATGTCTCAGAGTAATGATCTCCTTTTGGTCACATTAAAAATTTTGAGGATTTTTTGGAAAGAAGAAACAACTGTATAAACGTGGCCCTCCTCAATGACACAGAGTTCTGTATACACCAGGCAAGAAAGCACTTGTTCCTCAAAACAAGGTTTAAAATCAACATTAGTAGTGGCTATCCTTTAAAATAACATTGTAAACTTGAATAGCAGACAGATTTTCTTGTGATTCATTATCTATTAATAAGATAATCAGGTTATTATTTTTCTTAAGTAGCTATAATAATCACAACTGTGACTGATAATAGCTAACATGTATTGAATGTTCACCATGTGTCTCACAGTTTACAAGAATCATCTCATGTAATGTCCCAGTAGACTTATAAAATTTATTACTTTTTATAGATGGGGAAAAACAGAGTAACACTGGCAGTGTCACTCAAACTGGCTTCAGTATTGAAGTGAGATTCAAGCCCATGTCCCTATTACTCTACTTCTTGAGTTTTGCACTCATGCTAAAGAAAATAAATACATAAAAGGAAAATATTGTAATTTTGCTGGGACATAATGAGTGAACCTCAATTTTACTGGCATAAAATATAAACAGGCAAATTATTTAAATTTTGGTATTTCCCTTTGTATCATTTTTTCCAACTTCACATTACCAGTGGGACTTAAACTGGACAAGGAAAGAGTCAGACAGAGAGAGAGAGAAAAAGAAAGAAAGAGATACCGCCTTGGAAATCCAAGGAGGGGTCGCTATGAGTCAGATCTGACTCCACGGCAGTGAGTTTGGTTTGGTTTTTAATGTATTCAGCAAAGTACATACATAGTCAATGGGCTTGAGGGATTTGACTTCAGATGTTGGGCAGCCACAGGAAGTAAGATCAGCATAGAGGGCTTCTTCTAACACACACTGATTATCCGAAACATCCCCTTGGTAAAACAGGAGCCAGCTAAAAATACAAGCAGTAAGACATTCAGTCAAAACGCATTCAGTTGTCAGTGTAGACTTAGCATCATGCTGGCAATTGTGAAGCTGAGCAGTAGCAAGCACCCAAGATGAGTAAAAAAAAAAAGCTACCACATCTTTTGAGTACCTGCCATGTGCTAAGACCCAAGCCAGGTATTTGAAATCTATTATATTGCTGAATTCTCGATAATTCTATGACAGAGATACATATGCTCAATTTGTAGGGACTAAAATAAGGGTTAGGTAATTTGTCTAAAGTCTACCAACTATGAAGTGATAGAGCTGAAATCTGAAATTAGAAGACATTTGTGCTAAGCTAAAGTCATTTCTTCATTCAGTGCCTTCAGGTACAGACTGTTGAGATAAAAATCTAAACCTAAACCCGCTTTCATCAAGTCAATTCCGACTCAGTGACCCCCATTGGATTTCCGAGACTGCAAATCTTTATGGAAGTAAAGCAGAGCAGCTGGTGGGTTTGAACTGCCAACCTTCTGGTTAGCATCCAAATACCTTAACCCCTACACCACCAGAGCTCCTTGAGATAAAAACTGAAAGAAAAAAAAAAAAGACCAACTCACTGCCATCGAGTCAGATCTGACTCATAGCAACCTCTCCTTGGGTTTCTGAGGTGGTATCACTACGGAAGGAGATTACCCAACCTTCCTTCTGAGGAGTGGCTGGTGGGTATGAACCGCTAGCCTTCTGGTTTGCGGTCAAATGCCTTAGGAACTGCCACCAGAGATAAAAACCTAGCGGTTATTAAATACTTGAAGAGGTTGAAAGTTCTTTTTGGGAGAAAGAAATTTTCTAGCCTTATTGAATGGCAAGCTTGCCTTCAGTCTGACTGGATTGAGTCTGAGACCAGTTGATAATAAAGCCTGGAAAAGGAAGAGTTTGAATATAATCTGATTAGAATTAGAGAATGACTGTGGTATTTAAAGCAGAGACATAAAAAGTATTACACTGGATTTCAGGATAATAGTTGGGCTCTGATTGGTTTGTGAAAACAACACTGGGGCAGGGGCTAATTAGGAGACTACTTTAAAGTTCCTCTAATTGTGACAACTAGCAGTTCCCAGTTTCTACTGGCTCAATCTGGAAAGGAGGGGAACTGAACCCAAGCTATCTGGAATGAAGAACAGGAGTTCTGGTGTTATTAGGCAGAAATAGAAACAATGAAAGGGAATATTTTAGCCCCAAGAATTCCATATACGTTCATATACATGTGAGAAAAATCCAGTATGTTTTTGGAAGGAAGAACACAAGATTTAAAGTCAAAAACAAAAACTAAAATAGAAACAACCACCACCAAAGAAATCCTTGTTCTGACATTCAGTGTGTGATTCTGGGAAATCCTAACTCTGAATCTGGGATTCCTATCTGTGAAATGGGACAGTAAGTATTTTAAATGAACAAAAAGATTTAGAAGTAACATGTCGTACACATAAAAACCTAGTTATATTTAAATCATTCTATTATGCTATCTAATAAACATATAACAAATATTAGAAATATTTAAGAGAAAAAATCTAAGAGGAACAGTAAGAACAAAAGCATCAAAATGCTCCCAAAGTTAGTGAATCAGCATTCTGGTTTTCTGTATTACACAATGGCCTAAAATACAAACTCAGCAAATCTACTATAGGCTAGTTAGCAGTTGACCAATGATTTAAAAAAAAAAAGAAAGAAACATTTTAAGAACTCATTGTGTTTGGAAAAAACAAAACAATTGAAGTCTATCTGAGTTAAAGTTTTTGAACAGCAGAAGAAGACATTTAAGCATACTTACCAACCCCGAAGAACTTTAAAGGAACATGGCATGAATGAAGTCAAATCAGAAATTTCTTTTGTAAAATCTACACATTCACCTTGGAACCCTGGTTTACTGAATGCTTTGAGCTACAAGAACAACAACACAACAATAATTAATCAAAAGAAGTGTTTGACTTATCAAATATAAACCTACAGTTTCACATACTTTGTAAAAAATTCAGCAAAATATTGGACTTAAAACTCTTTTTTTTTTCTTACGACTTTTCCAGGCATGTCACCATTTATTTACCATTTCATCCAACTCTTTTATCAGATTCTGGGCACCAAACTCAAACCAAACCCATTGCTGTCGAGTCGATTTTGACTCATAGTGACCCTACAGGACAGAGCAGAACTGCCCCCACAGAGTTTCCAAGGCTATAAATCTTTAAGGAAGTAGACTACCATTTCCTCTCATGAAGCAGTTGGTGGTGTAACATTTGAGCGCTTAATCACTGTGCCACAAGCACTCCTTGTTTTGGGCATTGAGGCCTGAAAAACAATTCCACCTATAAGACTATATTGGAACTTCCCCTCCCCTAAAATGTGGTCCTTGTCCAATGTAGCCATAATTATCATCAGTTATGGTGAGACCCTGGTGGTAAAACGGTAAAATACTCAGCTGCTAACTGAAAATTTGGCAGTTCAAATCCACCGACCATCTCAAAGATCTGGCAATCTGCTCGCAGAAAAGATTACAGCCCAAAAAACTTACGAGGCAGTTCTACTCTGTCACATGGGGTTGCTATGAATTAAAAACTGACTTGACAGCACCCAACAACATAGTGTGCCCAGAAGTTGCTAAGTACTGCAGATTTTAAGTGCTTAACGACTAGTAAAGAGCTGGCAGATAAAACCTGCCCAAAGGTACCTTGAAAGAAAGCCCTGGTAATGTGCTTCCGGAAGGTCACAGCCTTAATATTCTTATGGAGAAGTTTTATTCTGCACATATGTGGTCATTATGAGTCAGAACTGACTGGACAGCAACTAGCCACAATAACAATGAGACCAATGTGCAAGGTAAGATAGATAATTTAGCACTAAACCAAAGGGGGTATCCATTACTATGCAGGTTGGCTCATATGCCTTTCCTCTCCCCAAGTCTTCCTGATCCACAGTTAATGCAAGAGATAAAGAAAAGGCATGAACATATTCCCATAAGTGTGCCTGTGAGAGCCTAGGAGCAGATGGTAGAGAAGATAACAATGATGAGATTAGCAGAAGATTTTTGGTTGAAGAGAGACAGCTGTGTCATATATTTCGGCTTATAGTCTTCAGTTTAGTGATAAGAATATCTCAAATGTATAGCTTATATTTAGATACAACTATATTTCTACATTAGTACTTTTTTCAAGGAAAACCTATGAAATTTCAACTATAATTCCTTTAGACCAGATACATAATAATCTACAACTATAGTGGCCTTGCATCTTTAATAAAGCAAAAATTAATGAACCTTACCTATATTTCATAATACAATGAAGCTTTGATATAACATGGCCTATCTATCGTCCACCCTGCACATACAGGCCTGCACTGTCACTAAGAATGCAAATAATGAACTATCTGCAGCATCGCCCTTTCTCTGGTTCATTCTGTCATCAAGAGCATGTCTTCTTTGAAAGTGTATGTTCGAGTCCAGTTATCATCCCCAGGGTCCTCAAACAGACTGATGGGCTCTTACTTCTGAGGAACTATTTATTAGTTGTCTCATTCTACTTTGACATTGCTTCATCTGATATTAAAGATCAGCCGAAACCAGGGAAATGAGAGAACCAACTGCCCCTGACTAACTGGGTTGCACAATATGAATTCCTATTGTGAAACCATGCTGTATGTGGAGCATTATGGAAGTCAGGTCTGACTCTACAAGTTTCTATAATGGTCCTTCTGTTGAATACAAAAGATAGCAAGAGAAAGGAGTCCAAAATGAGACTGACCTCTAGAACAATTCCCTATATATGAACAATTCCACATATCCAAGGAAACTGCCTCCAAATTCCTTGATCAGGATATATATTTGGGTTAGCAGTTTTTCACAGTATACTTTTTATCTTAAGGGTTAAAAAAAAAAAAACACGAAGCTAAAAGGCAAGTCACTTTTAATCTCCAAAAACAGAAAAATTTCTCCTATATAAATTTCTCCTTAACAAGTTATTTTCAAACTAAAATGAAAATAGGAAAAGCAATATGAAAGCAGACACCACCCTGCCTTGATCACTATTTGTAAGTAATCCCTGTCTGTTGATTTATATTGCTGAGCTGAAGATTTGTACTTCAATATTTCACCATGAAGCCATGAAATGTTAAAGCTTTAACACTGGCAATTCAAGTTAAGCAGAATTCAGATGTTACATCTAGTTTTTAATCTCTCTTCATACTCAGAAGAATTAAAATCCATATAAATATATACATATATATGTAATATAAACCAAAAACCAAACTCAACGCTGTTGAGTCGATTGTGACTCATAGTGACCCCTCCTTGGGTTTCTGAGGCAGTATCACTACAGGAGTAGATTGCCCAACCTTCCTCCCGAGGAGTGGCTGGTGGGTTTGAACTGTCAGCCTTCTGGTTAGCAGTCAAGTGCCTTAGGCACTATGCCACCAGAGCACATATATATATGTACATTATAAATATATGTACACATACATATATAAAACATGTCATAAAACATCTTTTTGATTCAGTGGGTTAAAATATTTGCCCAAATTTTAAAAACAGATTTACTGTTGATCAGAGTTTACTTTACTTTTAACCCCAAAATGAGATAAAGTATATAGGTCACTGAAAATTATATCAACCCCACAAAAGTAACAGCTCATTCTGATCACCTCATAAATGCCTCTGGATAGAGTAATGTGCATAATAATGTTGAGGATGGTCCAAACAGAAACTAACTCTGTGCTTACTAATTATAATAATGAAATTATTTCAAGGTGTTCTGTGTCTTGGTAAAATTAAGTCCTAAGAAAGGCTAGCTGGATAGGTCACTGTGTTGGCTTCCTTTCTAGACTGATTCAGAATAAATATACAAAACAACTCAGATAGGCAAACAGTCAGATGAGTAAGACATGAGTTTTCAAACTACACCCATCCCTTCAATCCCTGTTGCCCTAGCTCAAGCCCTACCACTACCCCCAACTTCCAGCAAACAGAAGCATATAAAGTTGGGCATGGGGTAGACTGAATGACTGGTTTACAAGGTGTCTTTTCCACATATCTATCATCACTTTATGGCAAAGATTTTTGCATAAATGCCTTTTTTTACTCTGTGATTTTCATTCATGATCTTCATGAACAAAATGTGATCATAGGTCTTCAATACAAAACCTAAAATCTCAAGAACTTAATTAACACAGAAGCTGTGCTCATCTTTATGCCACAATATCAGAATCAAAATATCAGAATAACATTTTGAATGTGATTTTATTTATTCCAATACTAAAATAATTATGAGAAACTTTCTTCACTATTTGAACAGGACTTTCTTTCTCTAGCCCTTTTTCTTCCCTCACGCAAACATGCTGATTGTTAAACAAAGAAAAAGTTTGTTTCTGTTCATCACACTGTCTCCTACTGCAGTGTTACCAACTTCTCAAATCAACTATATATTCTACAATAATTTTACTCTCTGGATTGCCTATGGACAGTTTTCTTTACTTACTTAAAGAGTTCTTCCAGGTGATTTCTGGTCTTTCAATCTATAAAAATGATCTAGTTGTAGTACCATGAAGAAAACTGCTCTTGAAAGCAGTTCTTTTTCCACGCCCCAAACAAACAAACAGTAATGACCACTGTTAGAGATTCTGTGGTCATTTTAAAAAATCAACATGGCCAAATTATCTAACACAAGACTGATTGTATTTGGTGCTTTTTCTTGGCTAAAATTGTATGTAAAAAAGAACAGGAACTCAATATTTAAAGATATCCAACCTTTTAGTTATGTTGTCAAATGTACTTCAAAAAGATTCTAGGAAAGAAAGATATTTGGCTGGGTCAAAGGGGGAGATATTGTTTAGAACAGAATTCCTAGAAAATGGTCCCTGACTATAACATCCACAGAAACCTAAACTCACTTTAGAACATTTAATTAGTGAAATTTCTGCCATGCAGGACTTACTTAAGAAAGAAACATAATGCAAATACAAAGATAATTCACTTTCAGTGTGACATTTGTTTTGTTTGTTTATGGAAAAAACAAAACCCCACCTGCTACTAATGAAAAATTCCATTAATGAAGCTCTATATACTGAGTTGGTAATCAGATTTAGGGATTGATCTTCAGCCACTGGGTAAAACAATCTTTACAACTGGAGATATTGTATCAGTGTCCCAAGTAAGACATATTTTATTATAACAGGTTTATATAATCATAACAATGTTCTCATTTTCATAAATCTCATGATGTATATTAATATCTATACACATATATTCTCTGGCCTTTCCTCTCCTAGGTTGCTTTAGGTTCCCCTCCTTGAGCATCAGCATAAAAAAATTTCCATCTTGACTTGAACTCTGAGATTGCCTATTCTCCTTGTTCTTCAAATAGGGAAAATAAGTAACTCAACGGAACACAGCAAGCACCTAAATTGCCAATCTGACTGTCACTGCTACCTGTGAAGGGGAAAATACTTTCTAGTTACTGAGCGAAATGAGTGCCAACCAAGATGTATTTGTTTACATTTGGGTAAGTATAAACAAGAAAAACATTTTCAAGATTGGGTCCACTGAAAATAACAAGAGCGTTGATACTGGTAGACTAAGGAAGCTTTGTTTGCACGTGTTACCAAATCGCCAGTTATCATATACTTGTCAGAAACTTTTACTTTACAAGCCAGTAGTTGAGCCTTATCCAGAAAAATGAAGTGGGGCCAATTCACTGGGCGTTGTCAGCTGCTTCCTCTCTCTTCAAGTCTGACTGGAAATACTACAAAGAAAATCCTCCCAGCAATCAGCCCCAAACAAGGAAGTCCATAAAAAAGAAGAGGGAGGTGGAAGAGGGGAGAAACACAGCTTGAAAGAATGTGCCTTTTCATCTGACCTTAAAATTCTGAAATGTGCAGTTTGGAATTATCTCTGTTTAACTATTACTCTACTCATTAGTTTGATTCATATGAAAAAGTTCATTAAAAGTTCACAGCTGAAGACTGAAAAAACAGAAATAAATAACTGGCAGGAAATGCCTCAAAATATAACTCAATTATATTCCAAAAGGAAATGTTTCTAATAGGTCTGAGCTAATCAGAAAGTATAGAAACCTGAAAGCACTGGGAACAGAAACACAGTTAAACTAAGCTGATTTGAAACATATAAACACTTACATGAATATTAAATACATAAATACACACTGAGAGAAAAAGAATTTAGCATTATGTAAAGGTAGGAATTATTTAAAAACAATCAGTATATGTGGCTTTTTGACACACATATTCTCTGATTTGTTATTTAAGTCAAGCCAAAGGAAGCAATGTCTCACCCCTTTCTCCTTCTATGGCTGTCCTGAGCAGACCACAAATATCATGGTATGTCCACATGTGATACAAAAGACCCTGAAAATGTGGCTTAGGCAAGGGGAGTCAGAAAATGTCTTTCGTTACTTCTAATAGTGTAACACAGCACTCAAATTCTGAATCTCAGTTTCCCCATCTACAAATGAGGTTAATACTGACCTCACTGAGTTACTAAAACCAAACTCACTGCCATGAAGTTGAGTCGGCTCACAACGACCCTTCCCCTTGAGTTTCCGAGGCAGTATCTCTACAGAAGTAGATTGCTCAATCTTCCTTCTGAAAAGTGGCTGGTGGGTTTGAACCACCAGCCTTCTGGTTAGCAGTCAAATGCCTTAGGCACTACACCGCCAGAACACCTGAGTTACTAGAAGTATTAAATAGGCATAATTTCTAGCCTACAATGGATAGTAAACAAATGTTTGACACAGAGTATTGCTTAATCCTCCAAACCATAAATACACCAGCAATAAAGAAGTAGGACAGCAATTTTACCATTATTTGTAAGAAATATTTGATCTAGGTATTAGAAATGCAGTATGTCAACATAGTAAGTTTTCCATGGTAAGTTTTTTCCTCCAGGAACAGAAGAATATGTTGTGAGTAAGAATGGAACATTGAAAAAAGGATGGTCAATAGGAAAGAAAGGGTGGCAAAAGCTCAAAATGTTCCCAAAGTGGTAAGAGTTGCAGACCTCTAAGGAGAAATCTAAAGGAATTGTGACAAATCCAGGCAAATTAACCACTAAAAAGACAGGGTCTCTTCTGCTCACAGGTGCCAAGTACAATATAAGTTGCCCTGTCAGTTAAATATGTAAGTTATCTGAATGAGAAAATAAGGGTGTAAATGCTTTTCGTAAACAATTTAACAAAAGCAAGTTAAAAGTATTTTTAAACATACCAAATGTGGAGGCTCATTGACCCCAAGTGGTTCCTGAAAAATATATTAAAACAGGTTTTAATTATAGCTATATAATCTTCATTGTCTTTTGAAAGTCATGAAAATACACTGTGAAAAATGGAAGGAGGAAAAAAAAAAAGGTCTGATCAATTTACTAGATAAATTGAAGTGACTATGACCTTCCATTAATCTACTGAATTCTGTTATAATGTTAGTATTTATTACTAATTAATGTTGAATAATACTACAGCTGGTAGAAAAACATGCTCCCATGTCCATTAGAAAAAGAAGTCCAAACTTGCTACCATTCCCTGTCCCACCATTTATCTCATGGTCATTCTTACTGTTCTGTCCTGTTTGCTATTATCAACACTGGCTATACTTTTTCACAACTTTGATTTTTCCCACAAGGAGGTTATTACCTACCTGCCAAATGTACTTTCTGACAAAACTGCTTTTATCCATTAAGACGTCACTCTCCTTTGTGGCACAATCCCCAACTCCTCATTGGGGGTTCCCTTCTCCTGCCTCCCCAGCACCGTCTAAACACTTCAGTCTCAGTAATCACAGTATAATTAATTGTTCATCCATCCATCTCCCCTAAGAGAGCAAGACTCATCAGTCTAATCTCCTGAACTCAGCATAGTGCCTGACACATCAGAGACACTAAGTAAATACTTGTTGAATGAATTTACTGATCAAATTATAGAACCATCTCATTAATTAATCATATTTATTGGCTCTCTATGGAGCCCACAGAAATTCATATGATGTTTCATTTTCCTTATATATATATATACATAACATACTTCAACAATTTCACTAAAAAACTTGTTCCATGTATTCAATTATGTAACACTTGATGCCACTGGCATTGACTTCATTCATACTTAACTCACCAGTCGGATAGGTCGTATTGACATGATTATATTATTTGATGCTCCCCAGTCAAAAAAGCATTTATATTTCCCTTTTTCTAAAATGTATTGTTCTCCACAGAAGAATTTCTGCTGGTAGGCAACCCATCTAAGAGAGAAAAAAAGAAAAAAGGTACTGTAGAACTGAGCAACCAATTATTTTAAAAACAAAGAATTTCTTAATGTTCTCAGGATAGAGGGGCAACTTACACTCCACTTTTAACATGAATGGATCTTGTTTCACTGCCAAAGCCAATTTCTTCTAAATCAGAAATTTCCTGATTTACAATGTCAATAAACTTCCCACTTTCTAGGTCAGATTCAAACAGTGTGATAGAAGATTCTATGAAATTCTGAAAAGAAAAGAATTTAGAAAAACATAAATTTTGTGTTATAGACTGCTGTATCAGCAAAGATTTTATTTAATTGTGGGATATGCATTCTGTTCTTGTTAGATGCCATAGAGTCAGCTCCAACTCATAGTGACCCTATGTACAACAAGGCAAAACACTACCCGGTCATGCACCAACTACCCTCACAGTCTTTGCTATACTTAAGCCCAATGTTACAGTCACTGTGTCAATCCATCTCATTGAAGGTCTTCCCCTTTTTTGCTGACCCTCCTCTTTACCAAGCTTGATACCTTTCTCCAAAGAATGGTCCCTTCTGACAACATGACCAAAGTAGGGGACACAAAGTCTGACCATTCTCATTTCCAAGGAGAATTCCAGCTCTACTTCTTCCAGGACAGATCTTCTAGCAGTCCATGGTTTTTTCAGTGTTCTTCACCAACACCACAATTCAAAGGCATCAACTCTTCTTCGGTCTTCTTTATTCACTGTCTAGCTCTCACATGCATATGAGGCAGTTGACAATACTATGGCTTGGGCTAGA